TGCTTTAAATTTACTTTTTGATGTGTGGCTTTGATTTCAGAATTCCAGTAAGTCTCTAAACACAATCAGCCACAGCCTTTGTGTTTGTATCCTACCTTTATGCTCCATGATTCTTGCCTAGAGGTGAGCAAGGTATTTGTAGGATCACCTTCATTCATTGGTTCAAGGTGATGTCCAATTCAAGCTCAAAGCCTTCAGTCTCTTTTTTTCCTATGTGTATATTAAAAAATTTTACACCTTAAGTCCATATGATTTTTTTTGTCATCAGAAGAAAAAGTCCTCAAGAAGGAGTTGATAAATGTCTTTTTGTTGTTGTTATTGAGTTGTTTTAGTCATGTCTGTGACCTCATTTGGGGTTTTCTTGGCAAAGGTACGGGAGTGGTTTGCCATTTCCTTTGGGTTAAATGACTTGCTAGCGAGTGTCTAAGGCCAGATTTGAATGCAGGTCCTCCTCTCTCTCTCTCTCTCTCTTTTTTTTTTTTTGGTGAGGCGATCAGGGTTAAGTGACTTGCCCAGGGTCACACAGCTAGTAAGTGTTGAGTGTCTGAGGCTGGATTTGAACTCAGGTCCTTCTGATTCCAAGGCCAGAGCTCTATTTACTGCACCACCTAGCTGCCCCCTCCTCCTCTCTTTTTAGGTGGAGTCCTGCAACTTGATGTCATCAACTTGCATCAAATGGTTAAAAAAGATGTTTTGGTTTTATTTCCTCTTTCATCTGGAAGCCGTACTTAGTGTACATTAGGAGAGATGAAAATGAATTTAAAACTAGGCAGAATCACAATTGGTTTAAACTATCTGGGGGAAAAATGCCAGGTTTTATATGATTCTTTATGGTATTGACAAGTTTTAAATAGAGAAAGATCAGTTTTTCAGATGGCCACTCATAATCTAGCACTCTCATTACCCTTAGATCTATGTTATATATTTATATTATTTAAATAAGTGTACTCTGTACATGAATGCAGAACTGAGTCAGAGGCTTTGTGACTATCAACAAAGCCAATAGGTATGTTTTGATGTTTTGGGGGCACCTTAGTCAATAATTACAAAGCAAATAATAAATTGTTTTTTGTACCCAAGTGCCTTTCTTGGCATGCCTTTTTTTTTTTTTTTGCTCAAGGCATTTTCCTCTGTCCCCATGTCTAGGACACTCTCCCTCCTTTACTCCACCTCCTGGCTTCCTTCAAGTTTCACAAAAATCCCATCTTTTAAAGCAACCTTTTCCCAGTCCATGATTATTCTGGTGCCTTTCTTCTGTTAATTATTTGCTGTTTACCCTGTATATAGCTTGTTTATATATATTTATTTTCGTGTTGTTTCCCCCTATCAGATTGTGAATTCCTTGAAGGGAAAAACTGTCTTTTGCTCTTTTTTATATCCCCAATGCTTAGCAGAGTCTGGCACATGGAAGGTGTTTAATAAATGTGAATTGTTTGATTCAGACCAAATAGATTTTTCTTGTGTTTAAAGATGTTTTTTTCCATGATGCAAACTGTGAATACTTTGTATAAAATACATAAATATGAAATGGGTCTATGTTTGGAGGCATCACTGGTTCTCATTTTTGATAGTAGATAGGTGATGACTTCTGTTAAAAAATATGTGGGATCAGACTGATATCTGAGAGGAATTTGGTAAAAAAGACACATTAGCAATTTTTTTAAACAATCCACACCCTTTACCATATTGGTTGCCTTCTCAATAGATGGAGGATAACCTGGAGAGAGGAAGAAAATCTGAAACTCAAAATTTTTAAAATGAATGATAAAATTTTTAATTTTTTTTTCAATTCACACCCTAATGCACCACTGTAAAGCATTTAGGCTGATAGTTATGGATCTTATCTGTGCCATCCACTCACCCCCTTGCTTTTGAATTTTGCCTAGAGGCTAAAGTTATGGTCACTTCTCTTGACATTTTATTCATTCATTTTATTAACTGTGAAAGCTTTGTTTCTTATTTGATCCAACTAGCACTTTCATTGCATTGGACTTGATGCAACCATAGAATTTTTCACATCTTTCTTTGGAAACTCTATCTTGCTTCTTTTTTTTTAACTTCTCTAGCTTTTGTAAAGTCTTTAATACATATTCAATTGTTTATTGTGTTCTCAGCAATGCTTTGACTCTTCATATCTCCTTAAACTTTTCTCTTTTGCTTTTCATCGTTAATTAAGAGTATTGACAACTTCTGATAGGTTTTGTTTTCCAGATTCTTTTCTGCCTGACTTCTTGCATTGAAAATTTAATTTAATGTTTTTTTAAATTAATAAGATCTTTCTTTTTTTAAAATCATCATCATTGTTGTCGTTAAAGTTAAAGTTAAATAATAGAGAGTTCACCTTCAAGTTCAAAGACCTTGGTTCGAATCCCACCTCTGTCACATACTATTTGACACAGGGCGAGTCACTTCTCAGTGCTTTAGGCAACTCAAAAAGGTCATAAATTGCAGGTTCATCTAGCTATAGGGAGTTTCCTCCTCTGGGAGTCCCTTATGCCAATGAAGTCATACATCCAATCCTAATCCTTATTATTAATATCCTACATAGCATGACATGTCACTGTGGAGAACATGAATGACTCATCTATATAAAGAAAGGGCTGGACTACAATGACTGCAAAGGTTCCTTCTAGCTCCAACATTACAGGCTTTATGTTGTACTTCTCTTTTTCTTTTTCTTTTCTTTTCTTTTCTTTTCTTTTCTTTTCTTTTCTTGTCTTGTCTTGTCTTGTCTTTTCTTGTCTTTTCTTTCCTTTTCTTTTCTTTCCTTTTCTTTTCTTTTCTTTTCTTTTCCTTCTCCTCCTCCTCCTTCTTTGTTCTTTTTTTGGCAAAGCAATCAGGATTAAGAGACTGGCCCAGGGTCACACAGCCAGTAAGTGTTACATTGTACTTTTCTATGTTAGTAGCTTCTCATCTTTTAACTTTCTATGTTCTCTATTTCAAATAGTCTATGTCCGAAGTTCCCTTCTAACTCTAACCTTCCAATGGAGTTCAGTGAAACTTCTTTGTAAGTTCCACCCCCACGCTTCCCTTCTGTCTTGAGTTGCAGGGTACCCGTTCATTACAAGGCCCAGGTGCTCAGTAATTTCATCTCCATCGACACCTGTGTGTGGTTTGGAAGCCACCACACTGCCAGGGTGTGGAGCTGGTAATCATTTCCTTGGGCAGAGCACTACAAGGGCTGGCAGCTCAAGCCAAAGACTTGTAACAATGGCAGATGAGCGCCTAGAGCTCCAGTCGACATCTTAACCAGCGGGCTGGGGCCAGCAACTGATGCATTGCTCGCAACGTGTATTCCAACAAATACCAAGCACTTATTATTGTTGTTCATTCATCTGACTCTGTGACCCATTTGGGCTTTTCTTGGGAAAGATACTGCAGAGAAGTTAAAGAAGTCCCAGCATTACACAGGTAGAAAGCAGTTTCTTAACCCATGTGAAGACATGGTAAGAAGGATTCATTGCACATAGTATACGTCTTTTATCAGAATGTGACAGCGACATTTTCCTTTATGTGATTTTTCAAATTGTGTTGGGGAAATGTGTGCCAGTTCTGCCTACTTGGTATCAATTCCAAAAAAAGGATTTCATGCAATTATATTTAAAGCTAGGATCTTAAACATCACTTCCTCCAGGGATTCTTAGTCTTTTTCCATGTTGTGGTTCCCCTTGGCACTCTGGAAGCCTATAGATGCCCTCTCAGAATAATGTTTTTAAATGCATAAAACAAAATACACAAAATTACAAGTGAAAAAAGTGAAATAAAGATGTGATTTTCTTTTTCCTTTTCAAATTCATGGATTTCCTAAGACCTCAGAATCATTTTTATGGATGAAGAAACTGAGAGCTATAGAGGGGAGCCCAAGGTCACACAGGTAAGAGGTAGAAAAACCAAGATTTAAACCCAGATCCCTTGACACCAAACCTAGTACTCCGTCTATTGCTGCTAGGTGGCACAGTGGATAGAGTGCCAGGCCTGGAGTCAGGAAGACTCGCCTTCATGAATTCAAATTTGGCCTCAAACATTTATTAGCTGTGTGATCCTGGATAAGTCACTTTATTCTGTTTGCCTCACTTTTTTCATCTGTAAAATGAGCTGGAGAAGGAAATGGCCGACCACTTCAGTATTTTTGCCAAGAAAACTCCAAAAAAGGTCATAATGAGTCGGATGCAACTAAAAAACAACTGAACAACAACACTCAGTCTATTAAATAGACTTTCACATGAGTCCAGCAAACATATGAAATGGAACTTGTTTCAGGAAAGGCTTTGACTTAATTTGAATTGTACTGAATCGTTTGCTTTTCTAAAAACCGATCAATAGACACAGTAGGACTTTATAATCTCTTCACCTCTCAATCAGTGGAGCAACTGTGCAGATGTGGTCTGCTGTGGAAAGAAAATCTGAGAAAACTGGCCTTGTTTTCATCAAGGATACTCATATTAGATATGTAGACCATCTTCAAAAATATTTTATAGAGGATAGGGTTAGAGGCTGGACCTGCGATTTTGTTGGTAGAGGGGAACTCCTGGAAAAGGAAGCCCCGTCTACCAGTGCAGATGAACACCTTCTCAAGTTGGCTAGGGGGCACGGATAGGCTACATGACTGGCCAGGGTCACACAATCAGTATATAGCAGAAGCAGGACTTTGATCTCAGGTCTTACTGGCTCCAAGGCTAGCTCTCTAGCCACTATTCTACACTGCCTTTCACTGAATTTTAAAGACATAAAAAAAAAATAGGCATACGAGTTAAAAAAAAAAAAGATGTGAATGTCTTCTCAGAAAGTAAGAGCCTTGCTCACTAAGGTGGTGAAAGATTTAGGAAATACAGAAGGTGTGTTTACTTACTTCCTGTGAATTCTTGCCCTCCCAGGCTCAATGTAAACTGCTTCTTCCTTGGGTCATACTTCACATTATCACATAGACCATAGCTCTGGACCTCTGAAGATGGCCTCCAGTCATTTTTATTGCAGAGCAGGACATCTGGGGAGCTCATCAGGTTGCAGAGGATTGTACCTACATAATCAGGAAAAGAAACCCTCAAGGTTAGAAAAGAGAAACAATAAAAAGCCCAGAACTGGAAGTAACAAGACTAGAGTTCTAGTCCTGGCAATGTCACATTCTAGATGTGTGATGTTGGGCAAACCATTTTATCTTCTCTGGGTCTCAGTTTCCTCGTCTGCAAAATGGGTATGATGATTCAGTTTCCCAGGGCTGCATCTAACCTACTTCTCAGAGCTATTGTGAGTTTCAAGTGAAACAATGTATATAAAGTATCTAAAATCATAATGTTGTAAAGTATTAGGGATTTCATTGTTGTTATATAGAAACTGGATTTTTGAATTATTAGAGGGCTAACTGCATAAACTGGATCGCCAAGCTTAGGAACTGTAATAGCTTGCATTTACATAGCATTTTAAGGTGTGTAATTGTTGTTCAGTTGGGTCCAATCCTTCATGACCCTATCTGGGGTTTTCTTGGCAAAGATACTGAACTGGTTGGCCATTTCCTTCTCCAGCTCATTTTACCGATAAGGAAACTGAGCAAACAGGGTAAAGTGACTTGTGCAGGGTCACCCAGGTAGCAAGTATCTGAGGCTGGATTTGAATCTGGAAGATGAGTCTTCCCGACTTTCAGGCCCAGAGCTCTATCCACTGCGCCACCTAGCTGCAAAGGTGTGCAAAGCACTCTACAAATATCTCATTTGAGTTTTACAACAATCCTGGGAAATAGGCTCCCATTTTACAGATGAGGAAACCGAGGCAGACAAGTTACCTTACTCTTGATCTAGTGTTCTATCCACTCTGCCAACATGACTCAGAGTGAAAAGGAAGAGAAAAACAAATTTATGTTACTTAAAAAAAATAAGAATAGAGAAGTAACAAGTGGGGTGGAGGGTATGCTACAGATGTGAAATGTTGCACATACTTTCACATTCAGTAAACATTTATTAAGCACCTGCCATATTATGTGCTGGGCCTTGTGCTAGCACTGGGGTTACATATTTAAAAAAAAAAAGAGTCCCTGACCTCAAAGAGCTTACAATCTAATGGAGAGGCCAACACACAAAAAGGAAACTGAAAAGTGGGAGGGGGAAGTTGAGGTGAATATATCATTGTTGTTGCTGTTCAGTCATATCCAACTCTTCATAACCCCAGCCAATGTTATTTATCCATGGGGTTTTCTTGGCAAAGATGTTGGAGTGGTTTGCCATTTCCTTCTCTGATGGATTAAAGCAAATGGAGGTTGAGTGACTTGCCCAGGGTCATACAGCTAGTAGGTGTCTAAGGCTGGATTTGAATTCAGGCATCTTCCTGACTCTAAGCCCAACACTATCCATTGAGCCATCTAGTTGCCTACAAAATATATCATTAGTTTTACTTAATTACTTTACTTTGTTACAAAAGACCTCTCAGGGTAGGGGAAATCTATAAATGTTTGTAATATAAAAAACAGAATATACCAACTTAATAAAAAAGTCTCATAGAGTTCAAAGAGTGGCTAAATGGCTATTTCAAGACCTATCTACATTTTTATGCCCATGAACTCAGGAGATCTGGGTTCAAGTGCTGGCTTTGTCACTTAGTAGCTGTGGGCAAATCATGTAACTTTTCTCACTTCCTTCACCTGTAAAATGGGTGTGATAATAATTACATACTTCCTTCACAGGTCTGTAATGTGATGATTGGGTGCCATAATGAAAGTAAAAGTGCTTTTTAACTATAAAACACTACAAAAAAGTCAATTCAATAGAGACTGATTGGGAAGTCCAAAGGGGGAAAAATGGAATTAAACAATTGGCAGGTGTTCTTCCCTCTGTACTAGACCTCAAAACAGAAAGGCACATAGCTTTATTATCTTTCTAGCCCAATGCCAGCACCTCCCGAGTCAATGGGAGCTCTGTGTGTGGGGAAGGAGATATCAATGGGCAGTGATCAAGGCCTGCTCAGTTTATCCTAACATGGCCCCCTTCAGCTGTGGCCCAGTGCACAGAGGCCCATGCCACGCTACTGAAGCCAACTTCAAAGTGACACAAGCTGAAATGTAAAGAGATGTCATAAAGTTTAACTCAGGAAATATCAGTGGAAACCAGACCTTCAGACGGAAGGGAATAAAGGATGGAAAGCTTTTCCCAGGACCCAAATGGCACAAGCCCAGAGAGCTAAATGGTAATGCAGGGAAAGTTACAAAGACCCAACAGGAAATTGGGCCTGTTAGGAGCCAGAACTGGTCCAAGTGTTTTTAAACACTTCAATTAAATTCTAAGCTTGCCAATAGGATGAGCCTGGGAAACACATCTGCCTATATTGAAAAAAATAATATTTTAAGAGAGGAGAAAAAAGTAAAATTTTCACTTTGGAATCCCAGAGGTTGTTAGCCTATATCCTATTACATTCTTTTAGGCATTAAACTTGGAGAAAAATGGAAGTTAAATTTTAGCCAAAAATTCCTCTGAAATAGACTCCATGAGCTGACTATTTCCATGGAAGAAAAAATTATTTCCACATATGATCTCAAGGAAAAATGAATAAACTTTATACAGCCAAAATGGTGTGGCATGTAATAAAGCAGCTAGGGTATTGGACTAATATGTCCTAGAGGGTGAGGGAGCCCAGGGAAGTGGAATCAGCAGGCTTGGGGTCTAAATTCACTTCTCCCAACAACCAATTAGTCCATCAGAAATAATGTATTTAGCACTGGTTCCGTGCCAGCCACTACGCGAGGCACTGGAATGGGGGTAAAGTGAACACAGCTAACATTGCCTACATCAAAGATAGGTGTCAATTAAGTAAGTGTGAATTAGTGACTTCAGTGGGGACTACACTGGCAACTGAGGGGGGGAAGATGGGTTAGGAAAGGTCTGCAGAAGGTGGAACTTGAACTAAAACTTGAGGAGACCCAAGGAAACTGAGGCTAAGGTGAAGAGGAAGGGCATTCCAGGTGTGGAGGACAGTTAGTGCAAAAGCATGGAGCTAGATTACCATGAGCAAATCATTTCATGTCTCTGGGCCTCAGTTTTATCATCTGTAAAATGGGGTTGGATGATATCCAACTCCAATACCCTGCTACCATACATGGTATTGTGAAGATAGGTGGTGCAGATGATAGAACAATAGGTCCTGGAGTCAGGGAGATCTGAGTTTGAATGTTGCCTTAATTCCTTACTGGCTGTGTGATTTTGAGCAAGTCACTTAGCCCCTCTGTGCCTCAGTTTCCTCATGTGTAAAATGGAGATAATAATAGCACCTACCTCACAAGGTTTTAAAAATAAAATAAGATAATACATATATATGCATATACATATATAAAGTACTTTGAAAACCTTAAAGCTCTGTATAAATGCTCGCTATTATTATTGTTATGAAAATAATAACCTATAATTCTATTGGATTTTATAGTCTACAATTCACTTTACTAACAATGCTTCTGTGAGGTAGAGAGTATTATTGTATCTATTTTACACAGGAGAAAACAAAGAAGTGATTTGCCACACGGCTGGCACATAATGGGAGCTTAGCAAATGTTTATTGATTGATTAACTGACTAATAAGTGGTAAAGCCGGGATGCAAAACCCACATGTTCTAATTTCAAATCTAGTTCTCTTTTTTATGCTAAATAAAGGTTTGGTTTTTTTCTTCTTTTTGTCATAGAGTACTTTCTTTTTGGAAGTAATTTTTAATTTCTTTCATTTTTTACAAACACCTAGGTTACATATTTGGGCAGCTAGGTGGCACATCAGACAGAGCCCCTGGTCTGGAGTCAGAAAGACTCATTTTCCTGAGTTCAAATCTGGCCTTAGACACTAGCTGTGTGACCCTGGACAAGTCACTTAACCTTGTTTGTCTCAATTTCCCCATCTGTAAAATGAACTGGAAAAGAAAATGGCAAATTCCTCTAGTATCTTTGCCAAGAAAACCCCCAAATCCACAAAGAATTGGATACAACTGAAAAATGACTAAACGTCAACAAAAAATGTTACTTGTCTAATTTCTTATATTAGAACATCAGAGCTGATGTTAGAATATATTAGAATACAGAACATAGAACATAAAATATGTGGGATGTAGAATATATACATACAATAATCTATATAGAATATATCTATGTAGATCTATATAGAATAAAAGAATAGAACAGAATAATAGAATAAACTATATAGAATAATAGAATGTAAACTATATAGGATATATAAAATATAGAACACAGACAGTCAGAGTTAAAACTTAGATTCAGCTCTGAAATCACCTTCAGATCGAATCATTAAGCCTTATCTTGCCTATAACAAGGAATCCTCCTCACTTTCTGGCAACCAGATGTAAATCATGCCACCATGAATATATTCTCCTCTCTCCACTCTCCAGCTCTCTTTATGTGTTGCCTTACCCAACTGGAAGGTAAGCTTCTTGAGGGAAGCAACTGGGACCTGTCTTGTTTGCTTGGATTTGTATCCCCAATGCTTATCATAGTGATTATCACAAAGAAACAGAGAATGAATACTCTCTCTCTCTTCTCTCTCTCCTCTCTCTCTCTCTTTCTCTCTCTCTCTCCATCTATCTATCTATCTACTTTTCTGTTTGTCTTTGTGTCTGATCTATTATCTATCCATCCATCCATCTATCTGCCTGTCTACACCAGTAAAAGTTTACTGGGTCCTAGTTACATAGGCTAAACCCAGGTCAAAGCAATGCAAACTAGAGGAAAGAATATTGTATGAGCTATTAATAGATTAGGGTTTTAGTCCCAGTTTAGCCATTAATTCATGACCTTGGGCAACGAATCACTTCACATTTCTCTGGATCTCAGTTTCCTCATCTGTAAAATGAAGAGGTCAAATAATAGAATCCCTAGGGTCTTCTTTTGAGCTCTAATAGTCTATGTTTTCTGCTCTAACACTCTGTTCTAAGATCTCTTCCTGGCTCTAACATTCTCTATCCTATGGTTCTTTCTAGCTCTATTCTCTATATGATCTTTAGAAGTTCTTTATATGATCTAAGGTCCCTTCTGGATGTGATATTGCAAGACTCTTTGATTCTAAATGTTTCACAGATGCAGGTCACTGTTGGGGTTGGGGGGTCAGATAAGATAAATTATTTGGATCAGCATGAATCCATCAGCATCACCACAGAAGCAATTCAAATTGTCACCTTTACTGCTTGAGAACCAGCAGTCTTTCTATACACTAAACCTAACATGTTGATGCAAGCATTACCTCCTCTGAGCAAAGTCTGTGTGAGGATGAAGCCATCACAGCAGGGTTCTCTGTCACAGGCCAGGCGGCAGTAGAGGTGAGTATCTGTCAGATTCGCTCCATCAGCTGAGAACATGATGGACTGGTAGACTCCTGAGAGAGCATCCTGGAAATCCATTTTCTCATACGTTTTCTGACCAGATGTGGTGAATTCATACCCTAGGATATCAGGAAGGGGATAAAAGAAGAAATTCTTAAATCTTTGCCACAGGGATAGTAACCCAGGAATCCCCCTCACAGTAACTCTGGGAAATGGTCATACAAGCCCTTCCAAAAGACCCCCAGTGATAGGGAATTCACCATCTTCTGAGGCAGCTTATTTCACTCATGGACGACCTTAATGATTACAATGATTCTCTATCTGCCTTTCTGAAACTTCCATTCATTTTACCAGGGGAAGAACTAGGAAGTCCCAAAGGAAAGGCTGGATGGTTAGGGGGAGGAAGGGTTGCTGGTGTTGGTGTTAGTGCACATTGCATTCAGAATGCAACAACAGAAGTAGAAACTGGAGGAAGGCCTGGGCATGAGAGGAAATTGCAACTTCCTATTCCTAAGGGTCCGGTAAATATCCTTTATGTCAGTGTGAAGAGGCCCTGTGGTGTGGTAATGGGAAAAAGTCAGAGACTTGAGGTTAGAAGACACCAGAGCTTAACGCCTATCACTCACAATGACTAGCTGTGCTACCATGGAGAAATTACTTAATTTCTCCAAGCCTCAACTTCCCCATCTATAAAATGGGGAAAATAATAATTAGGTTACTAAAACTTAAATTAGGTAACTGTATAAAACACTTTATGAACCTGGAAGCTCTATATTAATCAATCAAGAGGCATTTATTAAACACTTAACTGTGTTTCTGTTACAGGTGATACAGATAGTAAGAATGACATAATCCCTATTGTCGATGTTTGTCTGCTATCCTTAACAATGTTTGCAAGATCTACTTGCACAGTTGTGGCTATGGAAGTGCTTTGCAAGCCTTAAAGGGCCAAAGAAATAGGAATTAGTTTCATTCTGTCAATCTGTCAGCACCCCCTACTGTCCATTTTGGACTTCCCTAAGTCATCATCTTCCTTTTCCCCCCCACACCACACCATACACTAGATTCCCAAAGCAAACGGTCTTTCATTCTTTCACACATGGTCCAGTTGAGAATCATAAACCACAGGCTAAATGTGCCACTGGCCGACTAACTATGACTCAGTTTCCCCATCTATAAAATGGACAAAATCTCTTTTCCTAGGGATGCAGTGAGGGTCAGTTAGATCATTACACAAAGTTGGTTGTTGTTCAGTCATTTTTCAGTTGTGTCTGACTCTTTACAACCCCCTTCGGGGTTTTCTTGGCAAAGATACTAGCGTGGTTTGCCATTTCCTCCTCCATCTCATTTTACAGATGGAGAAACTGAGGCAAACAGAGTGAAGTGACTCACCCAGGGTCACACAGCTAGTGAGTAGCTGAATTTGAACTTGGGTCTCTCTGACTCCAGGCCCTGTGCTCTACCCACTGAGCCACCTAGCTGCCCTTATACACAAAGCTAAATTTCCTCAAAGGAAGGCACTTTATTAAGTTGAATTTCCACCCATCCTTTAAAATCAAGTTAAATGCCACCTCCTCTAGGACCCCACCTTTGGTCAGGAAGAATCTCCCTTCTCCTGGATTTCACACTACATACAACTCTCCTGGAATCTTTATGTATTTCTTGGAATTACACTCATTTGTGTATATGTCATATTCCCTTCAGAAGTCCATGAGTTCTCACCTACTAAAAGCCAAAGAAATACCATATACTCCAAAACATTTATAGCAGTACTTTTTCATGGTAGGAAAGAAATGTAAACAAAGTAGACGCCATTGATTGGGGAATGGTTAAACAAATTGTGGTACATAGATGTAATGCAGTATTACTGTATTGTAAGAAATGACAAGCATTAATAATAATAATATCTAGCATTTATATAGCACTTTAAAGTTTGCAAAACACTTGACAAATATTAGCTCATTTGACCCTCACAACAACCCTGGGAGGCAAGCACCATTATTATCCCCATTTTATAGATGAGGAAACTGAGGCTGAGAGGATAAGTGACTTCCCCAAGGTCAAGTAGCTAGCAAGTATCTGAAGTCAACTTTGAACTCAAGTCTTCATGACTCCATGTCCAATACTCTATCACCTAGATGAAGAATACAGAAAAGTATGGAAGGGTCTAATGAAAACTGATGAAAAGTGAAGTAAGCAGAGCCAGGGAAACATTATAAACAATACCAACAATCTAAATGGATAGAATGGGAACCACAAAACAATTAAAACTGAACACTGTGAAATTATAAAGAATAAAGAAGCTTTTGTAGGGGGTAGGGGTCCCATGGGTAAGATTATTGCAAGTAATGTCTAAATTTTTATGTGATTGGTTTTGCTGATTTTTTAACTCCTCTTTTTCTTTCTCCCCTTTAAAACAGTTCTTTGTTATGAGCTAGCTAGGTAGTATGGTGGATAGAGCACTGGACTTGGAACCACAAAGACCTGAGTTCAAATTCATTCTCAGACATTTGCTAGCTATATGGCCCTGCATGAGTGACTGAGCCTCCTTTGTTTCCTCATCTCTAAAATACAGATGACAATAGCTCATCTCATAGGGTTGTGGTGAGGGTCAAATGAGATAGCATTTGTAAAGCATTTTACAAACCTTTATATAACCCTTAATGCTATATAAATGCTATTATGATTAGATATTATTAGGCGTGCAATGGATAGAGTGCTGGGCCTGGAGTCAAGACTTGTCTTCTTGAGTATAAATCTGGTCTCAGACACTTACTAGCTCTGTAACCCTGGGCAAGTCATTTAACCTTGTTTGCCTCAGTTTCCTCATCTATAAACTGAGCTGGGAGAAGGAAATGGCAAACTACTCCAATATCTTTACCAAGAAAACCCCAAATAGGGTCACAAAGAGTCAGACATGATTGAAAAACAACTGAACAACAACAAATTATTATTATAAGGGATGGTTCTCTATAAGGGGAAAGAGGAGTGGCACAGGGGAAAACTTAAGCAATGTAAAAATAAAGAATATTAATAATTTCTTTTAAAAGTTAAGGAGGCAATATGACACAGTGAAAAGAAGCTAGGTTTGGAACCAGAATAAATTTGCCCAAATGTAACTGGGACATTTGTGATTTGTGTGTTCCTGGATAAATTCCTTAGCCTCTCTGGGCCTCAGTTTCCTCAACAGTAAAATAAAGAGGTTGGAAGACATGACCTCTAAGACCATTTTCTTTCTCTAAATCTAAGATCTGATCATTCTATCAAGTCTTCAAATGGAGGCTGGATGGGACCACTTATTCAGATAAGACTAATTAGAAAACCTCAGAGGTCCCCTTTCACTTTTAGATTCCATGATTCTGTGATTCTAAATTAGAAGGTAAGCTCTATGAAAGCAGTGGCTATTTCATCTAAACTTTGTATCTTTGATGTAGTGCTCAGTGTTCTATATAAAACGAAGTGCTTAATGAATGCATCAAGAAAAGGGTAGAGCCTAGATATATTTCTTAACGTGTTAAAAAAATTAGAGAAAAAAACAGATCTGTTCCACCTTGGGTGACAATTTAGACCAGATAACTTTCCAGCTCTGAGATTCTATGATTCTATTTTTAGTCCACCTGATATTCCCCTTGCCCTACCAAGTCCTCTTTTTCTTCCCATTTTACAAACTACAAATCTGTGGTACCTCTTCAAAAGGTCCTTCTGCCCCTTATCAGTTCTGCTCAAACGTTCCCTCAGGTCGATTCCTGAGCCTGGTTTTCAAAGGTCTCTCCCTCCAGGAGGGAGATAAAAGAATTTCCTTATCACTGCTCCAAGACATAACCTTGTGTGTTTGAGTTTGGTTTGCAGAATAAAAGAATATTTGATCCATTATTGTTCAGTCCTTTCAGTTGTGTCCAGCTCGATTCTTCATGACTCCATTTGGGGTTTTCTTGGCAATGATACTGGAGTACTTTGCCATTTCATTCTCCAGCTCATTTTACAGATGAGGAACTGAGGCAAAAAGGGTGAAGGGAATTGCCCAGGGTCACACAACTAGTAAGCATCTGAGGCCATCTGAGACTAGGGCTCTGGAGATAAGTTAAGGGTGCAGCTCTAGCTGTGGGAATCACCTGTCCAGAGGTGATAATTGAAGATGACATCACGGGGGAAAAAGAGTATACAGCATGCCCAAAACAGAATCTTGGGGGAACACATAATTAGAGAGTGGAGAAAGGAAGAGTGGGCTGTAAAGGAGACAGAAAAGGAATGTTAGAGTTTACCTTAGGCAAAATTATATACTAATAATGTTTCTATAAGCACCTTTCCACCTCCCTTTTGAGTGTCTGCTAGTCTCATCCTGACCATCCATTGTATTTATCCTGTCTCACAATGTATTGTCTCACTTAGCCTAAACCTACAGCTACCCCAATACACCTCCTTTTCCTAGAAAAGTTCTCATGATCCTAAATTACCCTCTTCTGAAGAGTACTCCCCATTCTTCAGTGGGGGTGATCTTAGCTAGCTGTACTCCTTAGGAAGAAAGCAATCTGATGAAATTAATTGAACTAAGGCTAAATGGCTGATACCTCAATATATCCTTCACTGAAGGATAAACAGAATTTCAGAGAAAACAAAAATCTAATCTAGTATAAAAGAAAGTGCTAAAATTGGAGTGAGGAAACAATGGCAGTCTAGTCCAATTGGGATATTAATCAGCCATGCCATTTGTAGTAAGTGACCTCTTGGAGCCTCCAATGTCTCTTAGATGATTTGACTAGAAAATTGATCCATCACCAAACATTTAGGAGGGGTCTACTACGGGTCAAGTATTGGGTGGGTAGGTGATGAGATACATATGTACATATATATATATATATACACATATACACAAATATGTCTTTAAGGTCTTTTAACTCTAATAATCCATGATGGATTCACTGTACTATTCTTTTTGGCTTTCTTTGTATCCCTATTCCTTAGCACAGTGTCTGACACAGTAGATCCTTAAATGCTTGTTGACTAGACTTGGCTTGGGGGTAGTGTTAGATTTGCAATTAGGAGATATTGGTCCCAGTTTGAAATGCCTCCCACTCCTTGCCTCTGCCTCAGAGAATCTCTTACTTCTTTCAAGATTCCA